CTCCTTACCACCAGTGACTCTCGAGTACACAGAATTTCTTTTTTTTTTGATCATCCAACCTACATGAACTCTTCTGGTGGTGGATATATTATTTGACCTGCCGAATTGCTTCCTTTGTATATTCCGGTGAGAGCTTAGTTCTCTTAACTTTCTAAGTGTGGGAGAGTCTGGCACTGCAATATCAAAAAAGTTTCAAATTCAACAGCATGCATCTAATCAATGCAAATATTAAGGCATAATTTTCGTTTTCATGTGTAATTATTAATACTGATTTATCATATTTTTCTTTTTATCATACAAAAATGAGTTATAGGTCTGCAAATATTCTAGCATTTATATAATTACACACATTGCACAATGGTTCTGCAGCGATTTCTCAATCTTGCTCTGTCCCAAACTGTCAATACTCCAAGTTTTTCAAACTCGGCATCGGTCAAGGTTAGTACTTCTTTAGGTCCAACCTACAATAATTGAAGAACAATTTTCAAGAAATCGATCTGAACATTTTTTTTTCAGGATGAGCATTAACATATTAAGAACATTAATCTCCTTATTAATTCACTTCTCTTAAAAGAGCTATTTAATTCAATACTGAGTAAATTATGATCACACAAGATCAGTTTTGCATGAAAATGGAACAACAAAACTCAATTTCATCTCAATGAGAAAATATATATATGCCTAATTACAAAACGTAGGGTACCTGTAGTTTACAATATACCAATATATTTTTGGCACTTTTCTGGTAAAGAAAAAGAACTTTAGAATAATCTGTCTCAGGACTATTTAGCCCACCTAGCCAAAATTGTGACTGAGTATAGTTTTCTTTATAGACTCACCTATAACCTATAATTGTCACCCAAGCAGTTCAATTTCATATATTAACAAAATGGAATATGAATAAATAAGTAAAATGAATGATAATTTTTTTTTTCAAGAACATGTAATGCATTAATGTTTCCCTTATGTCTGGGTTCTATGTTTAAATAGAGCTGGCAATCAAACATTTGATTTAATTCTTTTGAAGAAAAATTAGGCTTTAAATCATTGATAAAATAAATTTTAAACAATTTACAAATGAATTAAAAAATAAGGAAAAACATACATCCCCTTTAGTTATTGTACACAAAGTACATTATTGACACCCACACTAGAATATACACTTTAGATTTTTTTGGATAGATGTCCATCATCCATGTCATCTGAGAATGTAAACCTCAAAAATATTCAACGAAATGCTTGTGGCTAAGACAGTAATGGTCATTTAATATTATTCAGTTTCATCAGAGTATATATATCTTTTTTCATGGCACTTAACCAGTGGTAATTCTTTCTTTTAAATTGTTCTCTCCCTGCATGATCCCCTAATTTTTTTTCACCTAATCAAAAACCATTCAACTGTGTAAATTACAGAACTTTGGCAATGCAAGTGGAAAGACGTCATTTTAAAAGTCAGGCTAAACAGTGTCTGTAGGATAATATCAGTTTGATGATAGCATGTTCCATCTATAAACTTAATAAAAACCTTTATTAATTAGTTGATAAGAAAATATTTACGGACAAAAGAACTATTTTGCTTCTTAAAGAGAATTAAATAGGTACTGTTCAGTAAAATATGTATAACAATGGGGAAAAAAACATTAGAACTTGAACCATGCTTTTTTGAAATAGGATCCGGTGGGGCCAATTTTTGGCCCCTGAAAAGGTACTGATAAATCCTTACCGATCCCCAAGTGCGTATGAGAAATATGAAAAACTGTCTCATATCGACTTAAAAAGCCATATTATATGAATTGATTAATATGAAAGTTTCCGAGTTACCTTTTCTAAAGGATAAAAAATACGCGTCCATATAAAAAATTTGCTTGGTGCACCCCTTTTCAAAAGAAGTTATGGACCCGCGTATATTAATGTTACTTGATTTTTTTAAACTTTAAAAAAATTAAAACAGTATAGTTCCATCCTTTTCAATGTACAAATTATTACAATTAATCTACCTTATGTTCCTCAAACAACTCTTTACAATGTAAAAGAGCAAGCTCTCTTAGGATTTCGTCCATTTTTTTTTAGATCATGCGCAGACAATTATTTCCGTGAAGATAATTTCCGATGGCGAGTTGTGTGTTAGCGCGACGGCGTGTTGCTTGAAAGCGTGTTAGCGCGACGGCGTGTTGTGCGAACTTGTGTTAGCGTGACAGCGCGTTGTGTGTTAGCGCGACGGCGTGTTGTGCGAACTTGTGTTAGCGTGACAGCGCGTTGTGTGTTAGCGCGACATCGTGTTGTGCGAACTTGTGTTAGCGTGACAGCGTGTTGTGTGTTAGCGCGACGGCGTGTTGTGCGAACTTGTGTTAGCGTGACAGCGCGTTGTGTGTTAGCGCGACGGCGTGTTGTGCGAACTTGTGTTAGCGTGACAGCGCGTTGTGTGTTAGCGTGACATCGTGTTGTGCGAAATTGTGTTAGCGTGACAGCGTGTTGTGTGTTAGCGCGACGGCGTGTTTTTCTGAACGCGCTGTTGAGCTTTTGCAAATGGCCCTATCCGGACACCATAGCTATTAGTTGAAAAGAAAGATAAAACCTGGAGGTTATATGTAGATTATAGGCAACTAAATAAGGCTACCAGAAAGGATGCATATCCTTTACCCCGAATTGACGAATCCCTTGATTCTTTAGCATTTGCTTCATGGTTTAGTACCCTTGATCTTGTGTCAGGATATTGGCAGTGTGAAATGGAAGAAAAGGATTAGCCCAAAACTGCATTTTCTACACATATTGGTCTTTTTCAATTTCAAATGCTACGGGTCTTTTTCAATTTCAAGTGTTTCCCTTTGGAATATCAAATGCTCCAAGTTGTTATGAAAGACTTATGGAATTGGTTTTAATAGGTCTTAGATTGGAAAAGTGTCTTTGCTACCTGGATGACATTATTGTATTTGGTCTTAGTTTTGAGCAAGCTGTTCAGAATCTGAAGTTGGTTTTTGATAGGCTCAGATCTACCAAATTGACTTTAAAACCTTCAAAATGTGTGCTATTTCAGCAGAAAGTCAATTTCTTAGTTCATGTTGTGTCTAGCAAAGGGATACAATGTGATTCCGGCAAGATTGAAAGTATTTAGACTTCGGCTGTACCTAGCAATGTTACTGAAGTTCGTAGTTTCTTGGGTCTCGCAGGTTATTATAGGAGGTTCATATCCACTTTTTCAACAATTGCAATTCCCCTTACATATCTCACTAGAAAAAGGGCAAAATTTTGTTGGACCCCTGAACATCAAACTGCATTTAACAAACTTAAGGAATTACAAACTACTGCTCCCATTTTGGCTTATCCAGAAAACAATTCAAGTAGTAAGGGGGACAGAGTACAGTCACTCTACAGTCATGATGACGTCATGGGGTTTTCCAGACCCCACCCACACAGGTCATAATATGGGTCACAGTCAAGGAGGGAGTCTACAGTCAATGACATCATAGGTATCTAAGTGCAAAGAGTGAGTCTACAGTCAATGACCTCACGGGGTAGTTTACAGTCAAGAGTGAGTCTACAGTCGCTGAGGATATTTAAGTGCAGCAAGTGCATCTACAGTCATTGAGGTCATTACAGTCAAGGTCAAGCATTTCACAGTGTGTCAAAGTGTGATCACAAGCTTTTTTCACAGTCAAATACAGAAAAAAAGCAATAAATACCACAAACAAAATTTTAGCCTGGAGTGCTATAAGAGGAAATGAGAACAAATGGACATTGCAAGAAAGTCAATGGTTTGACAAAAAAGAGGATTGCATTGCTGATTTGAAGGAAAAATGAAAAATGGTTATGACATTGCAGACTGCTGGGGATCTGAAGAATACCTACTAAAACGTCGAATTATGCCAAAGAAATACTTCCCACATTCCTGAAGATATATAGCCATGTTAAAAATTCAACGAGGGAGTGGATGCATAAAAAAACTTTAAATTTAATGATCAAGTACAAGTAATTTTAATTCCATACGAAGATCGAAAGGGGATTTCGATGGAATTTGCCATAGATAGAGCTCATTTTAAGAGGAGAGGAGAGTTCAACAAACGGAGAATGTTTTATTACCTCTGCTTCTTCAGAAGTTCAAACAATGTACACTTTACAGTCAAAAGAACGCAAAATAGGAAAAAGGGAGTGTCTCCCATTTTCGCCTAATATGTATAAATAAGTGCCAGTGCGTTAAGTCAGCATACAGGGTCTCATACTGTGAAAATAGATGGTTTTTCTAGTAGAGAGAATGCTGAGGAGAATATCTTTCCAATGGATTCGACGATTGAACTACTGTTTTCTCGTTTTAACAAGAAGAGAAGAAGAAGATCTAGTGTGGATCTTGATGTACCTGATGCAATGCCAGAAACTGGCACTTACCATTAAAGGGAAACTTAAGACTTTAAAAAAGAGAATCTAAACATACCATTATCAAAGTGGAAAAAACTAACAAAGTTAGTGATTGATCTTAATAGGAAAATAGAGGGAATGGACGTGCAGCTCTCTGCAACAATGAGGAAAAAAGAAACACGCCACCCATGTGCTTATTATTTTGGAATAACACTGTACAAGACTACAAAGGAATTACTTGAGACCCTTCAAAAAATTCGTAACTTCATAAAAACCAACCGAAGGAACTTTGTTGTGCAAAAATAACTGTCAAATGTACCTATTAATTAAGAAAAAAAGCAAGTTAATTTTACCAAGTATGTAAACAGACATTTGTACAGTCAAGAGGTCACAGTCCATTGTTCTACAGTCAGTGCGTTCTACAGTCAACAGATTTCCACAGGAAGTGCATTCTACAGTCGGTGCGTTCTACTGTCAAAAATTCTACAATTGGTTCGTTTTACAGACATGATTCTACAGACACGAGCCACGTGACTTGAATCATATATAAACTTTGAAAATTTCGAAAAGTTTCATCAGTTCTGAGCAAATCTCAGATAGGATACAACTCTGCTTTTTTGTTCCTTGTGAGATCCTTGTCGTCAGCAGAAATGGAGCAAAAACATCAAGACTTGATTAAGGCAAACTACTCAACATTGGTGAAGAAGATGATGGCTGTTCCTGTTGCGGGACATCTTTACGCCTCAAACATAATTACTGATGAAATGAGACAACAGATAGACGCTGAGAAAACCAGCTATGACAAAAACAGAAAACTGATCAGCTTCATTTTACGTCGAGGTTCGAGAGCTTTTATGGGACTTAGAATGGCATTAATGAAAGCCAATCAAGCTGACTTATCCCGACTCCTAATGAATAGGGATGATGACACAAAGTCTGAGTACGAAAAGAAGCTGGCCATGGCAAGATCATTAGTCGTAAGTACTAAAGAAAAAGGAGGTTCCAGAAATCAATCAAAGTCGATCATCAACAGTCTTAGGAGCCAAGATGTAGGATAAGTTTGGACGACTTCAATGACCTATTCCTCACCGTCATGCCTTTTAAGGGGGAGATTTGCGTCCACATCCGTCATCTCACAGAATCGCATGGTCGTTTCATTGCCACCAAGAAGGGAGTTACCTTTCCTTTAGCCCGTTGGTTAAAGTTGAAAGGGGAAACTGTCACCGACTTATTTACACAAATGTGAAGTGAACCTTCATCAGTTGCCCCGTCAACTTGTCTCTTAACGATCTCTGCTCAAAATTGTTCATCTTTCAGGACTAGGCTTCTCTGGAGGAGTTAAAAAAAATCCTAAATTGTTTAACTCTAAAAGGAGTAATGCATTCACTATACGTTGGAGAACTTACATCACAAGGACCAGAAAAAAAACCCAATTACAGTAGTAAGAGATTTCGTAATAGTGATGACATTCATACACACACAAAAACCTACTACCAATTAGAAACTTATTATGTAGCAAAAGAGAGAAAGATACTTCTTCATGGTTTGGAAAACACTTATAACATAAATTCGAACAAATTGAGATTTTGAACAGCATATAGTTGTTCTTCCTATAAACCTGTAAGAATACACTCTTTGTTCTATTCAGGAAAACGATGAAACTAAATCTATTCATGAAAACGATGAAACTAAAATAGAAAAGAATGGTTGTTCGTGACATTTTATCTAATTAAACACTAACAAGAATATATATGTATGGTAATATGACCTCAGTTTGTTATGTTCTCTCTCTCTCTCTCTCTCTCTCTATTGATTGTGACTGAAAAACAGAATATATATATATATATATTTCTTGCCTCTTTTAATTCATGGAATTAATCTGAGAAAAATATGTAAAAGTTTCTTTGTATTTTTAAATAGCACCGATCGATACTCTTGAGTGTGCTAAATATAACTCAGTCCCACAATGCATTACGCGCGTCGCCATACGTTCGGACAATAACATCATGGAGGTGTATGAGGTGGACAATGTATTAGCAGTTAATATTAGCGAAAAACACGAACGCAGAGGTGCAACTAAGCATTGTGCTTATGGTCTATGGAAAAGTGACTCTAGATATATATAGGTAGACTAGGTATGGAAGGCGTTTTCTTCATTCGCTTTCCACAATTTCATCGGGAACCGATGTACTCGATGGGCCAGTGCATGTCGACGAGAGCATTTTACTGCTTTGTCAGTAAAGAAGGATACATATATATGTAGTTTGCATTTCAAGGGCGGTAGAGGCCCCACGGAAGAATTTCCTGACCCAATTCCGGCAACAGCTACCAAATATGAGGTAAACACACCTGATTTGACCTACATGTAAAAACTTTTTTAAAAGGCCGACATGTCAATGTTTATGGTATTATGTTCATTAGTCTAAAATATCACACTAAGATTATAGGTAGATACATGCGAATTTAACAAATATTGTGTACCCTGCACTACAATAACGTATATATCATATGCCAATAGGGTTGAAATATGTGCTATATTCTAATAACATATCACTGTTATAATTAAAGTGTGGCATTTTATCATAATTTAAAAACAAATCGCTCTCAACAGAGTTGTTGACAATACAAGTAAGACGTTCATTCTCATTCATGGAAATGTGTGTGCGTGCATGTAATGTTTGCTTCATAGAACCTATACTGTCATGTAAATTCCCAAAAATATCAAGAGTAAATAAGTAGTGGGTTCATATTGTCGAATATTTTTTATTTATTTGATATCATAGTACCACTATGCCAAATTATATACATATCTAGAAAATTTAAATTCTTATCGATATATTTGTTTTTAGCTTGAAAAATTTGTCAGAAGCAAAAAGAGGCCGTTAGTGCGAAAAAATTTGACATGGTCACCAGAACCCAAACGCAAGAAGAGTGATTTGGTGAATATAGACATTGTTGAAACGAAAGCTGCTAGTGCACCGTCAGATGAGGATCATTGCACTACTAATCATGATACAGTCCAGGCAGCAGAGGCATTATTAATGTTGCAGAATTCTGAAAGTGAACAAGTGAGTTAAACTTTGAGGGTTTTTAGAAATTTTCTGTATTATATCAACAGACATTTGCTATCTCTCATTCTCTAAGGTATATATTTTTTAGAGGTGTGTCTGGTCAAATGTGTACTAGCTCTTCCATCTAAATAATAAGTTGTATATAAATACTAAATTATTTTTACAGTGACAATACATTTTCTCCCACTTTGTTAAAAATTGAAATGTATTAAAACAACAAAATGCTTTCATTGTTGTTTCATTATTCAATATAATGGTAAGTTTGTTGCAATAGTTGTGAAAAAATATGCAGGTGATGCAGTTTTTCTACAATGCCTGCAACTGATTTGCTTACATGATTCAACAAAGAAATCATTTAGCATTCAATTAATCCTGATCAGGTAGGTTTAAGTTAAATGTAATGTCTTCCATCTCAAGTTCTTTTTTCATGTAAAAGTTTTCAGTGGTTGACACTTAGCAAGTACCTGTATGTTTAAAAGAAGTTGATCTTTGAAGGAGTAAGAGTCAAAACTTATTTTATTTTGCAGTTAAACATTGTTTCTGATGGGCAGAAAGGTCTAAATATCCAAGATACATATTCCATGTTAAAGAATTCATGTGATGAAGAAACCCAGACATCATCTTGTTGCTTAACCTTGAATGAATCTTTAGCATTAAAATTAGAAAATTTTGATTTAAAAAGCAAGATTTCTGAACTTGAAAAAAAAAATGTATACAGTCAAAGACATTTTCCATTGCTAATGTGAAAGCTGATGACAAGAAAATGATATTTTACACTGGTTTAACTTATGGGCAATATATGTGTTTGTGGAAATTTCTGGGACCAGCCACTAGAAATCTTTCTCGAATAAATAATATGAGGAAATTTGAGCTTACACCATCTAAGTCAAGGGGACCAAAGAGAAAATTGTCACCAGAAGATGAACTTTTCCTTACACTGGTTAGACTTCGCCTTGGATTATTGCATACCGACTTAGCCTATCGTTTTGGTGTTTCAGTTAGTACTGTCAATGACATAACTTCAACATGGATACAGTTCTTATATTTACAGTTTAATAGACTACGAAGTGCTATGATTCCATCTAGAAAAATAATTGGCAAGCACTTACCAAAGTCCTTCAGAAAGTATAGAAAAGTACGTGTAATATTAGATGCTACTGAGTTTTTTACACAAGTGCCTAGAAATTATGAGCAGCAGGGTAATCTTTACTCTTCTTATAAGAATCATTGTACTTGCAAAGTTCTGATAGGAATAACACCTTCAGGTGCAATATCGTTTGTATCTGATGTGTTTGAAGGGGCAATTTCTGATAAGGAAATTTTCAAAAAGAGCAAAATTATGGATAAAATCAATCCAGGTGATCTGGTCATGGTAGATCGTGGATTTAATGTTCGAGACATTTTGTTGCAGAAAGGTGCTGATATTGTAATCCCACCATTTTTGGGCAATAGAACCAATTTGTCACAAGAAGAAGAAGCGCAGACACGTGTTATCGCAAAATTACGAATTCATGTTGAGAGGGTAATAGAACGCATAAAAAAATATAAAATTTGCCATTTTTGGGCAATAGAACCAATTTGTCACAAGAAGAAGAAGCGCAGACACGTGTTATCGCAAAATTACGAATTCATGTTGAGAGGGTAATAGAACGCATAAAAAAAATATAAAATTTGTAAGAAAATTGTACCTTTGAACACACTGTCAACTTTCTCCCAAACAGTCTTTATTGTTGCATGTTTGGTAAACTTTCAGAAACCAATAGTCAAATAAATGTGATGAAAACTATTGTGATTTCAATGTAGATTTTGAAACTGAATAATCTTTGTCAGAAGAAATTAATGAATTTGATTTTTAACCATTTTCTGTGGCATTTTCAGGATTTTCTTGATATTGTTGGTTTAATCTTTAACTGATCAGAAAGATTACCAATACCTGTATGCACTTATTTACTTATCTGTGAATTTGCAAAATAAAACTGTACACAAGAATGAATGAAAACTTTGTTTTATTATGTACAAATGTAAACTAATACTTAAGCTGTATAATTTCAAGTTCACGAGGTAGCCGCATGAGGAAAAATTCTGGAACAAGATATTCTCTATGAAAAGCCTCAAGTTGAGGACACATGTAAGACCACAAGTCATTACTGACAGATATTCTCTCCACTGACATACCCTTTGGAGACCAGACAACAAAGTCGCAAACGTCTAATTCACACAAAGCTAACTGCATTTGAATCTGATAATAGTATTTGTGATTTCTTTTGAGTCTCAAATTTCCTTGATTATCTTTAACACAACAAAAATTTCTACATTGCTTTGTTGACAGATTGTCTATGAAATTCAAGGGATTACAATTTCTAAGCACATATGGGCATTTGATCTCAACTAGACCCTTTGTTTCATTTAATTTATCAATGAATATTCCATCAGGACTACATCCAAGAGTAGGGTGTTTTGGGTTCAACCACAAACCCGTTTCCTGCACATTGTAGTTTGGATGTTGTTGTCTGTAATGTGCAAGAGCATCAGATTCATGTTCACTCCCATACAGTAGGGCTGCTGTTACAGGGGAAACTGACCACAGAAGTCTATTGACTAGACTCGTAATACCTGTTCTGACACATTTGATATCTTTCGCATTTGATGCTGTTACCCTGCACCATCTATTTACCTGCCAGTCCAGAGATAATGCCTGACCTACTGTGTTATCAACTACAAATGGGGAACATTTATCAGAACACATTTCTTTTAAATTATCAATAAATTGTCTACATTGAATCTTTAGAATATCTACACCATAATCATCTATGCTGAAATTTTCATAATGAAAATCTAATAAATTTGTCCATCCACATTCTTGTCCATTCATGACTAAATTTGATAGAAATTCATTTTTCTGTTCATTTGATACTTCATTCTCCCTCAGTTCTTCAGGTCTTGGATCAGAGTTTAAGATATTTTTGACTGAGGTTTTTTGACGTTTA